TTCTGGCACCTGTGAACAGATATTCCAGCACAGGATGATTGGACTACATTCCACAGTTCTTTATTTCTTGGTTTTGCCTCAAAAACTGCATTTTTGATGTCACCCCACAAGTTTTCTATTGGATTAAGATCCGGGGATTGGGCTGGCCACTCCATAACGTCAATCTTGTTGGTCTGGAACCAAGATGTTGCATGTTTACTGGTGTGTTTGGGGTCGTTGTCTTGTTGGAACACCCATTTCAAGAGCATTTCCTCTTCAGCATAAGGCAGCATGACCTCTTCAAGTATTCTGATGTATTCAAACTGATCCATGATCCCTGGTATGCAATAAATAGGCCCAACACCGTAGTATGAGAAACATCCCCATATCATGATGCTTGCGCAACCATGCTTCATTGTCTTCACAGTGTACTGTGGCTTGAATTCAGTGTTTGAGGGTCGTCTGACAAACTGTCTCCGGCCACTAGACCCAAAAAGAACAATCTTACTTTCATCGGTCCACAAAATGTTGCGCCATTTCTCTTTAGGCCAGTCAATGTGCTCTTTGGCAAATTGTAACCTCTTCAGCACGTCTTTTTTTCAACAGTGGGACTTTGCGGGGGCTTCTTTGCAGATAGCTCGGCTTCACATAGGCATCTTCTAATTGTAACAGTACTCACAGGTAACTTTAGACCATCTTTGATCTTCCTGGAGCTGATTGTTGGCTGCGTCCTTGCCATTTTGGATATTCTTCTATCCATTCGAATGGTAGTTTTTAGCTTTCTTCCAGGTTTTGATTGCCATTTTAAAGCATTTACGATCATTTTAGCTGAGCAGCCTATCATTTTCTGCACTTCTTTATATGTTTTCCCCTCTCCAATCAACTTTTTAATCAAGGAAAGCTGTTCTTCTGAACAATGTCTGGAACGACCCATTTTTCCTCAGAATTTCAGAGAGAAATGCACTGTAACCAGCATGTACAACATTTGCTACCTTCCTTCCTTAAATAAGGGCAATAATTGCCACCTGTTTTTCAAAGAATGAATGACCTCACTAATAGAACTCCACACTGCTACTATTTTGAACATGCCCCTTTCAATTAGTGATTCAATTACACAGAATCAGCAGCATGCATGTCATGACTGTTGGGTCTGTTGGATTTCTATTACTCTACTACACCTGCTAGTAAATGATTTGCCATGTAGAAATATAATTTCTACCAAAAACAGTGACTGATCAGGTTAGTGATGGCTGACTGCTATTATTTTGAACACAACTATATATACTGTGTGGGTGTATGTATATATATATGTATGTATATATATATGTATATATATATATATATAGTCTGTGTGGTGATGAGGACACGGCTGGAGTCTGGGGGCCATGTGAGTCTTAAAGGTCTTACAATCCTACTAGGGTCAGCACTGGAATTGAGAAACACCTAAACCTAATGTGTTGTGGCTGCTGCACCAAAGAGGAAAACAGGAAGCAGTGTGATCCTCCATGCTGCTGAGGCCAACCCAATGACTAATAGGATTTGTGTGCATCCCTGAGCAATTTGGGTAGGCTCAGAGTCCCTGTTACTCTGGTGATGCTGCAGCATGAGAGAATACAAGTGCTACCAGCAGAGGGTCATCTCATATTCCCTCTCCTCCCCAAAATGCATACACACATACTACACTGTGCCATAGTTTTAGGCAGGTATAAAAAAGTACTGTAACGTAAGAATGCTTTAAAAAATACGGTATATATTTTAAATGTTTATTTTTAGCAATTTACAAAATGAAAAAGGATAGAATAGAAGAAAAATCGAAATGAAATCAATATTTGATTTGACTACTCTGGTTTCAAACCAGCATCAATTCTTACACTTACACACATTGTACACTTGCAGCACAAAGAAGTGGGCAGCTTTGCGAACCATAGACGCAATGGTTGGACAAGGAAACTCAATGCAGCAGATTAACATCATGCTTTCTTCCCTTCAACCTCAGAAGATGTCCAGCAGTGCCATCAGCACAGAACTGGTGGAAACAAGTGGGACCCATATACACCCATCTGGCCATTGGTCTTCATGGAAGAACTGCAGCCAAAAAAGCCATACCTCAGGCATAGAAACAAGACTAAGTGGCTCAACTATGCACGAAAACATAGGAACTGGAGTGCAGAAAAATGTCAGCAGATGCTCAGGACTGATCAGTCAAAATTTAAAATATTTGGTTGTAGTAGGAGGCAGTATGATCATCATAGAGCTGGAGAATGGTTCAATAATGATAGTCTGCAGGCAATGCGAAGCATGGTACAGGATGCTTGCAAGTTTGGGGCTGCATGTCTGCAAATGGAGTTGAAGATTTGGTGGGGATCAATAATGTCCTTAATACTGAGGAGAAATACAGGCAGATACTTAACCATTATGCCATACCATCAGGGAGGCGCGTGATTGCGCCAAATTTATATTGCAGCAGGACAAGGACCCCTAACATACAGCCAATGTAATTAAGAACTATCTTCAGAGTAAAAAAAAGAACATAGAGTCTTCAAAGTGATGGTTTAGCCCTCACAGAACCCTGATCTCAACATCAGAAAGTCTGTCTGAGATTAAATGAAAAGACATAAGGTTTTAAAGCACCCCTACGTTCATAGAAGATGTGCAAGTGTACCTAGAAGAATTGATGCTATTTTGAAGGCAAAGGACAGTGTGTGTATATACTGGTGAAACTCGAAAAATTTGAATATCGTGCAAAAGTTCATTTATTTCAGTAATGCAACTTAAAAGGTGAAACTAATATATGAGATAGACTCATTACGTGCAAAGCAAGATAGTTCAAGCTGTGATTTGTCATAATTGTGATGATTATGGCTTACAGCTCATGAAAACCCCAAATCCACAATCTCAGAAAATTAGAATATTGTGAAAAGGTGCAATATTCTAGGCTCAAAGTGTCCCACTCTAATCAGCTAATTAAGCCATAACACCTGCAAAGGGTTCCTGAGCCTTTAAATTGTCTCTCAGTCTGGTTCAGTTGGAATCACAATCATGAGAAAGACTGCTGACCTGACTGTTGTGCAGAAAACCATCATTGACACCCTCCATAAGGAGGGGAAGCTTCAAAAGGTAATTGCAAAAGAAGTTGGATGTTCCCAAAGTGCTGTATCAAAGCACATTAATAGAAACTTATGTGGAAGGGAAAAGTGTGGAAGAAAAAGGTGCACAAGCAGCAGGGATGACCGCAGCCTGGAGAGGATTGTCAGGAAAAGGCCATTCAAAAGTGTTGGGGACTTTCACAAGGAGTGGACTGAGGCTGGAGTCAGTGCATCAAGAGCCACCACACACAGACGGATCTTGGACATGGGCTTCAAATGTCGTATTCCTCTTGTCAAGCCACTCCTAAACAGTCTTACCTAGGCTAAAGAAAAACAGACCTGGTCTGTTGCTCAGTGGTCCAAAGTCCTCTTTTCTGATGAGAGCAACGTTTGCATCTCATTTGGAAACCAAGGATGCAGAGTATGGAGGAAGAATGGAGAGGCACACACTGCAAGATGCTTGAAGTCCAGTGTGAAGTTTCCACAGTCTATGTTGATTTGGGGAGCCATGTCATCTGCTGGTGTTGGTCCACTGTGCTTCATTAAGTCCAGGGTCAACGCAGCCGTCTACCAGGAGATTTTGGAGCACTTCATGCTTCCTTCCACAGACGAGCTTTATGGGGATGCTGACTTCATTTTCCAGCAGGACTTGGCACCTGCACACAGTGACAAAAGCACCAAAACCTGGTTCAATGACCGTGGGATTACTGTCCTTGATTGGCCAGCAAACTCGCCTGACCTGAACCCCATAGAGAATCCATTGGGCATTGCCAAGAGAAAGATGAGAGACATAAGACCGAACAATGCAGAAGAGCTGAAGGTCACTATTGAAGCATCCTGGTCTTCCATAACACCTCAGCAGTGCCACAGGCTGATAGCTTCCATGCCATGCCGCATTGAGGCAGTAATTGCTGCAAAAGGGGCCCAAACCAAGTACTGAGTACATATGCATGCTTATACTTTTCAGAGGTCTGATATTGTTCTATGTACTATCCTTTTATTGATTGCATGTAATATTCTAATTTTCTGAGATTGTGGATTTGGGGTTTTCATGAGTTGTAAGCCATACTCATCACAATTATGACAAATCACGGCTTGAACTATCTTGCTTTGCATGTAATCTCATATATTAGTTTCAGTTTTTAAGTTGCATTACTGAAATAAATGAACTTTTGCGCGATATTCTAATTTTTCGAGTTTCATATATATAGCCGAAAGTATTGGTACGCCTGCCTTTGCAAGCACATGAGCTTTATTGGCATCCCAGTCTTAGTCCGTAGGGTTCAATATTGAGTTGGCCCACCCTTTGCAGCTATAACAGCTTCAGCTCTTCTGGGAAGGCTGTCCACAAGATTTAGGAATGTGTTAATGGGAATGTTTGATCATTTTTCAGAAGCGCATTTGTGAGGTCAGGCATCTTCGGATGAGAAGGCCTAGCTCAATAATTCATCCCAAAGGTGTTCTAATGGGTTGAGCTCAGGACTCGGGGCAGGCCAGTCAAGTTCCTCCAGCCCAAACTTGCTCATCCATGTCTTTATGGACTGCATTGTGCATTGGTGTGCAGTCATGTTGAAACAGGAAGGGGCCATCCCCAAACTATTCCCACAAAGTTGGGAGCATGAAATGGTCCAAAATGTCTTGGTATACTGATGCCTTAAGAGTTCCCTTCACTGGAACTAAGGGGCCCAGCCCAACCCCTGAAAAACAACCCCACACCATAACCCCCCCTCCACCAAACTTTACACTTGGCACAATGCAGTCAGGCAAGTATCGTTCTCCTGGCAACTGCCAAACCCAGACATGTCTATTAGATTGCCAGACAGAGAAGCATGATTTGTCACTCCAGCGAACATGTCTCTACCCCCCTAGAGTCTAATGGCAGCATGCCTTACACCACTGCATCCAATGCTTTGCATTGCACTTGGTAATGTAAGACTTGGATGCAGCTGCTCGGCCATGGAAACCCATTCCATGAAGCTCTTTATGCACTGTTGTTATGCTAATCTAAAGGCCACACCAAGTTTGGAGCTCTTTAGCTATTAACTCTGAAGACAGTTGGCGACTTCTGTGCACTATGCTGTTCAGCATGCCCTGACCCCACTCTGCATTTTGCATGGCCTTCCACTTTGTGGCTGAGTTGCTGTTTTTCCCAATTGCTTCCACTTTGTTATAATACCACTAACAGTTGACCGTGGAATATTTGGTAGCAAGGAAATTTCATAGATGGAATTATTGCACAGGTGGCAACCTATCACGTTACCACGCTTGAATTCACTGAGCTCCTGAAAACGATGCATTCTTTCACAAATATTTGTAGAAGCAGTGGTCTGTGGTCATGGAGGTGATTGGAACACCTGAATCCACTGATTTGTTTTTTTTAATTACTTTCCACTGACATTTTATCCTAATTAGTGATTTTCTTTGAAATTCATTTTTTTTTCTATTTCTGGTACGGCTTGTGTCAGTTTGCAAAATACCTTTTAGAGCAAATAATGGGTTACAATGTATATTTGTGTCATTTTGCTTTTGTGCACTGCTACAAATATCATTTTTGGAATTTAGGATAGCTTTACACAAGATTTTTCCCTAACAATATCTTTTATATGTTTATATACAGTATATCTGAAAAGTATATCCCCCATGCCCACTGAAGGTCACTCCTGCATGTAGTTTTTGTTTAAGTGACCCACAGAGTCATTTTTGTTTTCCACCTGGAAATCTGGTCCATGAGGTACACACAGAAAGTGGATTGAATGAAGCTGGCTGGAGTGGCAAGTCTGTGGGTGACAGCAATGGACAAGAGGCGAGGTTTCAATGAGAACTGTATTTGTATTTTTAAAAGTGCTAGGATAATTGTTCTTATAAATTTTGCTGCTGAATTAGCGCAGTAACACTCTCCTGTTTATACAGGACAATGAACTGAGCTGCAGTGAGAATGCAGTATCCAGTATAGGCACTCCAGCCTTATTGCTACCTCCACTAAGTGTTGCCTTAGACAATTGCCTTACTTTGCCTCATTGGTGACAGGCCCCTGGCCACCAGAACAGATTGAGAGAGAGAATCTCTGAGAGGACACAGAAATAAAAACCTTACATGGTTGTTCAATTTTACTTATTCTTTCCACCAATAAAAAAGTTTGGGCTTTAGAAACAATTAAAATACATTCATATTCTGTTAAGGAATGTTTTTGGTTAAAGTTATTTGTAGACAATAATGTCAATAAGTAGTATATTTTATTTATTATAACAGTCTTGGAGGAAATAGTAAGTGGTGATTTTTTTCTCATATGGCAAAAAAAAGCCTTCAGCTGGCAGTTAGTGTGAATCTGATCCTGGGGCTCACACTGTGTTCCACTGATAAGGAATCAACTGTGGGTGGAGGATGATGAAGTATTACAGAAGCTCAGAGCTGCGGGGGATCCAGAACATAGATGAAAAAACAACATAGGCACATGTTTCAATTTGCCATTATCATACAGATTTGAGTGAATTAGCTTGTTTAACCACTGGAATATAATTAGCAGAGCAGACATGCATACTTATCACTTTTGTTCACTCATTCTTATTAGTCATTTAATTATCTGAAATAGTCAGCTTTTTTTATCAACCTATCTTTCAATAGACTATTTATAAAAATACTGAAGTAATGGGAACAAAGGGCATTGTCAATAGCAACCAAATGCTTTATCCTGTACAAAGAAACTGCCTGATCATATCTATGGCTGTTGTGTTGATTAACACCACTTTTGTCTTGCTGTTTATGAGTCTGCTGCTTTATATAAATGGCATATTCTATAGATTTAGAATATATTATTTAGAAACCCCAAATCAACACATAAATAAGTACCAGTTATCACCTTCTTTCTCTTGACCATGAGGGGTGGGGGGCATGGTTGGTTGCTGCAGAAGATGGCCGATTGAGCTTGCAGCTCTGCTTTCCTGCGACCCACTGGAGCTACTAACAGTGGCACACAGCATCCTGCATGGGGGTACATCTTCCCCGCAGCCTTGGAAACCTGCTGGGTACTAATAGAAAGTGGAAGGAGCTGGGGTGGCCAGGGAGACTTACTGACATTTTCCCTCTACCAAGCCAACAGCATGTCCAAGATAGCACCAGCAGCAACTTTCCTCCTTCACCTTGCATCGGCTCCTCTCATGATGACGGAATGGGTCTCTATTCAGGTTCCTTCTCTCACAAACCCAGCTAAATCCAAGCATAGACTTTCACAGACACATGCTGCACCTGGGGAGGTGAGTGTCTCTGATAATTCACTAAATGACACCAGCAAACTGCCAGCCTCCATATTAACATTCCCTACAAAAAACCAGACTGGTTTAGACACTACTCTTAAGGACATGCTAGCCCCATTAAGGAAGTCTATTTAATCTGATCTTATGACATGCATGAAGCAATTAAAATCTGACATGCAAGAAATGGGAGTCAGTGACATTAAACATAAAATGTGAGAATTTACTACCACGTTTAACAAACATGTAAATGCACACAACGATAGAGAGGATTACATAACCTGGATAAAAGTAAAGTTAACGGACCTGGAGGACTGTTCCAGGCAGAACAACATAAAAATACAGGGTATACCTGCATTTGTGAAACCTAGAGAATTGCGGTCTCTTCTCTCTAACCTATTGGCAGAAGTATTCCTTGATTCCTTGGCTGAGGAACTCGCTATTGACCACATACATTGGCTACTGAAACCCCTGCACTTGCCTGACAGACTTCCCAGGGACACACTGGTGCACATTCATTTTTACTACATCAAGGAAAAGCTACTAGCACTAAATAGAAGGTCAGACACTGCCCCAGTGTGAATGCAAACGTACTGCGACGTACTTCCGGCGTGGCGCCATTTTGGAACACCTTCTGATCATGCTGTACACCCAACCTATGGGAACTAATCGGAAATAAGCTGCTGTTATGTAAGTGTATGCATCTCTGTTTTCTTGGCTTACTGTTACTTTCTGGCCATTAAAAGCAGTAATACACTATGAGGATTGTGTTTCTTTCCTCATCTATGAGCATATGAGCTTTCTGACATCTGAGGAGGGTACATTCCGTTTGCCCACTGGTCCGGCTGGAGACTGTTCATATTCATGTGATGACCGCCCATGCCATTTTTTCTCTGAGGAGCTATTGGTTGGAGGGATCCAGAGGTGATCTGCATTATGCTTTGTGGCCCTGTGGGGTCATAGAGTGGAGGTGAGAGGCCATTGCAGCCAGACTGCCTTGGATCACGTTTGGAGTGTGCTGTGATTCACCTGCACGTTTTAGAGATATGAACTATGGACACTTTATTTTGCACTAAGCCACTATTATTTACCTGCTAAGGGTCATGGTCTCTTCCATATCCCTCGGTGGATTTGGGTCATTTGTATTTATTGTATAACATATTCTTTATTGTTAGCGCTGCATTACTTTTATATATATGTTTTCATTGTCCTTTTTGTGGTATAGGATAGATGTTGGCTGCTTCTATAGCTGAGTGTTGTATTTTCCATAAAAGCGCAGGAGGATATATATTTACTTATTAATGCAAAGCTTACAGTTATATGCAGATTTTTCACAATACACTCTGAAGCAAAGCCACAACTTGTCTACTATAACAAAACCCTTGTGTAACCACGGCATTATATATCGGTGGGGCTACCCAGCCAAACTTACTATCACCAAAGATGGTAGAACCTTATCGGTGTCCTCTCTGGAAAAAGGCATATTAAGCTCCTAGAGAGTGGCACATCCTTGACCCAGAAGGCGATTTGTGTCCCATAACCTCATCTCTTAAAAGAGTCATTCAGAAGTGTCAGGATGTAGATGCAGGATAAATAACTGTAGTGTCTAGCAATTTTACTATAATACAGCATATACTATGGGGTCCCCTTCAACTACTTAACACACTTCTAAAAAAAAAACACGCTGTAAAACCTACAGTTCTGCAGACTTTTGCAGCATTTTACTTACTTTCAGTTCAGTCTACTATTACCCTTCTTTTCATTATTATGTTCTTTTCCACTTAACTATGCTATGTTTTTGGGTGTTTTGACTACATTCACTGGATAATGACTCCAAAAAGCCTTCCACCAGCTTCCTGGAATTGATGCTGTATTCCTCATGTTGAAACCTTCCTGAGATCTGCAATAATATTTCCAGGTACTGCAATATCCCCGTGGATTACTTAATTTAGTTTTTGTATTTTCTGATTGCAATAGCTGAAAGCATCTACTGGTTATCTCCTGTGAAATTCAAAATAACATCATTGAATGTAAAAAGCCTGAATAGCCCCACAAAGAGATACATGGTGTGGAGGAAAGCCAAAAATCCTAAATGTGATGTAATTTGTCTAAAAGAGATACACTTTCACAGTCAAAAGATTCCCTGCTTTTCTCATAGACACTGTTCTTATATTTTTATGTCCAACAGAGCTTTAAAAAAAAAAAGGGGGGGGGGTTGATTACAGTGAAGGATTCTGTCACGTTCTCACACATCTCAATGTCTATGTACGATTCTGGGAGATATCTTATATTGATATGTGAGATCAACAATACTAAATATATGTTGGTCAATGTATACCTACCAAATACCTGACAACTTTCCATTCTGAGGAAACTCTGGAAAAAAGTTGATAAAGTGCAACAAGGATTTGTGCCCATATGCAGTGACTTTAATGTGGGGCAGTTCGTATTTATGGACATTTCCACTAACACCCACAGATCCTTGCACAAAGTTACACTGCATAATTTTATATCTTCCTCCAATCTCTATGATGTCTGAAGATGCCAGCTCTCCACGGAAAGGGATTTCACCTTTTTTTTTTTCACATTCTTACTTAACATTTTTTAGGATTGATTTAATGTTAAAGGATAAGCTTTTGTTACAGAATGTGTCAAACTCTGAGATACACTCTATAGTCTGGTCGGATCAGGCTCCAATCTCTATGACGGGGCAAGGAACCAGCAGTGGAGGCTTTTATTATATGCGACATATAGATACCCACTTGTTATCACAATTCGCAACTATGCATAACCTTTCTAAAGCTTTCAGAGAGTATTTCACTATACATGAGACATCATTGAAGGACCTCTTTACCTTATGGAATGCTCATAAAGCGCATGTCAGAGGACATCTTATAAAATTAAGCGCTATTCACGCAAAGCAGAAGTCGCAGCAGATTGATACCCTTCTTGCCACCATAACTTGTTTAGAACTGTTAAATCAACGTCTTCTCTGAATACTAGCTCCCAACTAGCACAGGCCAGGCATAATCTTCATACACTGTTGCTGTCCTACCACAACAGATGTCTTACTCATA